AAAAAAAAATGGAAGAAAAATAAAAATTGAGAAAAATATTTATCAGTAAAGAAGAGTTAATATCAGTGATATAAAGGAGGTCAATACTTTTAAGAAGAAAAGGTGGCTGTTCCTGTTTTTTTTTTACTTACTTTTTATGTGGTTTTGAGGTATAGTATTTAACCCTAAAGCAGGAGAGTAATGAAGAACTGAGTTGAGCACTGATTTGGGTATACTACGTGAATGAACATAAATAGAAATGAATGGAAATCCAGATTTGAGCTTCAGAGGACAGAATGATTAGTGAAAGAACTAGATGTCAGCGGAGAAAAAAATAGCCAGAGGAAAGGGAGAAAATAAAAGATAAGAATAAACTGGGAAAGAGAGAAAAAAGAAGGAAAGCTGGAGATGGGGGAAAGGAACACAAACATACACACATGCAGAGGCTTTATTTCTCAGAGAGATAAAAAGCACCATGACCTGGGTGGCTGGCAGCTAATACTGCAATGAGCAGAGGCCCAGGCAAGCAGAAGTGAGCAAGAAGAATCACTGCAAGTCAAGGCAGTTCTGCATGGCTGAGTAATTGACCACAAGATAACACTAAATGTCTTGAACCTGCTCCAAAGGTAAGTCCTTGGACATCCACTCTTCATGTGGTAGTTTTGGAACAGATGAAAATAACTGGTGAATTTGGCACTAAATCTGACATATGACTTCTGTGAGGGGGGGAAAAATTCCAAAAGAAGGGCCCAGTTCTTTTTATTTTTAGCAAAATTATGTACGCTCACAAATGAGTTTATTCAGCACAAATGCAACTTGGCTAATAAATACTAGTATATTTTTCTAATAACGCTGAATTGATTGTGTCTCTAAGAGAAAATCCAACCCCAGTCTGTTTTCCCCATGTACAATATTTCCATGGCTATGTCCATTAGAGGAAAGAATTCACAGTCTATTCGGGAAGCAAAGCATACTTACCACAATATGTATAAATAAGTTTGGAATCAATAAAGCGGACTCTGAGATTATGGAGCACAGCAGGCTCATGAAGATAGCTGAGGGCTGTGAGGTCATTTTCACCAACAAGTATGTCAGGATTTCGTAAGTGAGGCAGCTCCTTGGTCTTTGGATCTAAACGATATTCCAAATCCTGAAAATGCACAAGGCACAGCATCTAGATAAATGATGGCAAGGACTGTAAAAAAGGCCCATGCTTTTTGCTTACTTCCTATTCCTGATTTGTTTCTCAGCTATTAAATGCACTATTTTCCTAGAACTTTCCAATATCACAGAAACTGGTGGAAATGGAAAACAATATGAAGTACATTTTCATTAGACATACTAACTTATATTAACAATTGTTGCTAATATAGTTTGAAAAGTCATAGCCTAAACCTTTATCACCCACCTACTGGATAAGAAGTTTAAAATTTTTGAATATGTTTCTCTCCTCCATACCCCTTTACCTATTAAAAAAAGTGGCACACAATATGAAAGAGTGGCCAAGAGCTTGGCTCTAGGATCATATTGACCTGGATTCAAATCCTGATATGAATACTTACTTTTTATGTGGTTTTGAGGTATAGTATTTAACCCAAATCCCTTGTTTGTAAAATGGGCTCACAGGGTTGTGGTGAAAAGTAATGAGGCAAGTCGGGCATGTGGTAAGTACTTAGAAATCCCTAAACCATGAGAGGCACAAGAATTCCCTGAAATTATGTACAATACTCTGTGTGTATGTGCACATATGTGTACTTTTTTTGAGGCAAGACAGTTCAGTTTTCATTAGATTTTTGTTTTGTTTTGCTTTTTGTTTTTTGTGCATATGCTTATTCACTCATCAAATTTAGGCCGGGCACGGTGGCTCATGCCTGTAATCCCAGCACTTCGAGAGGTCAAGGTGGGTGGATCACCTGAGGTCAGGGGTTTGAGACCAGCCTGGCCAACATGGTGAAATCTCAACTCTACTAAAAAATTAGCCAGGTGTGGTGGTGGGTGCCTGTAATTCCAGCTACTCAGGAGGCTGAGGCAGGAGAATTGCTTGAACCTGGGAGACGGAGGTTGCAGTAAGCTGAGACTGCACTCTAGCCTGGGTGACAGAACAAGACTCCATCTCAAAAAAACAAAAAAACAAAAAAAACACAACAACTTAGCCAGGCATGGTAGTGGGTGCCTGTAATGTCAGCTGCTTGGGAGGCTGAGGCAGGAGAATCACTTGAACTCATGAGGCAAAGGTTACAGTGAACCAAGATTGTGCCACTGCACTCCAGTCTGGGTGACAGAGCAAGACTCTATCTCAAAAAAAAAAAAAAAAAAAAAGAGAGAGAGAGAGATTTCAATGGGATTTCTGGTCCCAAAAGTTAACAAGTATTATTCACTTAATTTTTAATAGAGATGGGGTGTCACTCTGTTGCCCAGGCTGATCTCGAACTCCTGGGCTCAAGGGATCCTCCTGCCTTGGCCTCCCAAATTGCTGGGATTACAGGTGTGAGTGACCATTACTAGCCACTGTTCACTTTAAAGTCATGGGAATATGGCTTTATGGCACAGCCAACCATGAATATTGTCACTTAACTATATATTAGGCGGCAAATAACATAGGGCAAGTGAAAAGGAATAAAAATTCATTTTAGTCGTAGGGAGGGACAAGATTTTGTAAAAAGCCAGTTTTGGTAATACTGAAAATATATACAAAGGTCAAATATTCAAATCATATTCAAATGAATTATGCTAAAGGAGAGAAAAATTAACAATTTGCCCCTCAGCATTGGTTGCTGCTTGTTTATCAGAGAATATCACCCTTCCCCAGAGCTGACTGGTCCTTGCATTGGCCCTGATACACAATTGCCTGTTCTGGTGTTAGCCAGGTGACTCCAGAATGGCAGAGGGCAACCCAGAGCTCTTTTCTCAGTCTCCATGACAGGGTGGAGTTGTTTGTAGTGAGTGTGGGGAGGAGATGAAATTGCAATATTAGAGAAAAAACTAATTTGAAGGGTAGAAGAGATCTATAACATCTTCACAGAAATTTCTTTCTTGGAGTTAGGCTTTAAATAAATATAACCTATTCCACTGGAATTACTGGACATCATTAAATAAATTTATTCTTCTACTATTACAAAAGCCATGCTTTCTCTATTTTATTCTAGTACCCATATGACTATAGTTTCTAGAAGGAAAATGATTCTTGAATAGTTGGTGAATTTTATTTTGTCTATTCTTCTTGCTTGTCCTCTGTCCCTAGTCTTGCTTTTATTAAAGGTATATATCATTCTATTTCTAGTTTTAAAAAAAATACTAAGCATTAATAAAATTAAACACAGACACTGTACTCTGGTTGGCAAATCTGCTTCTCATAGGGGTATGGATTAGCAATTCCAAAATAACTTTATGTCTATAATGAATAAGTAATATATTATAGATAATGAAAGTCAAAGAGAGAAGTCATAGTACAAATAATCAAAGGAAGAATAATAGAATGAACCTGGTGGCAGTGGACTGGAGAAAAAAGGATCCTTATTAACTCACAGGTATTTTTAAGGTCAAGGCTGGGAGCGGTGCCTCATGCCTGTAATCCCAGCACTTTGGAGGCCAAGGCAGGCAGATCACCTGAGAGCAGGAGTTCAAGACCAGCCCGGCCAACATGGCAAACTCCATCTCTACTAAAAACATAAAAATTAGCCAGGCATGGTGGCGTGTGCCTGTATTCCCAGCTACTCAGGAAGCTGAGGAATGAGACTGGTTTGAACCCACAAGGCAGAGTTTGCAGTGAGCTGAGATCATGCCACTGCACTTCAGCCTGAGTGACAGAGCAAGACTCAGTCTCGAAAGAAAAAGAAAGAGAGAGAGAGAAGAAGGAAGGAAGGAAGGAAGGAAGGAAGGAAGGAAGGAAGGAAGGTCGGTCAAGTGCAGTGACTCATGGCTGTAATCCCAACACGCTGGGAGGACAAGGTAAAAGAATTGCTTGAGCCCAGCAGTACAAGACCAGCCTGGGCAACACAGCAAGACACCCATCTCTAAAAAAAAATTACATATATATGATACATATATACAAATACATACATATATAAACATAGACATAAAATAAGCATAGATGGTTGTGCATACATTAGTATAGTATGCATACATATTAGTATCTATCTATGTAAATATTTTTCTAGCTCTGTATGTTAAAAGGACGTAGAACTGGTGTCATCTCAGTAGCAATGAGCATACCTAGTACTCAGACTTTGGTTGCCAAATACTATCCTCCAAATACAAAGTACCAGGGCTGGGAAAGGGGAAACACATGTTAGGTATCTTGGGGGACCAGGAGAAGCGCTACATTAAAA